TGAGCCAATGGCGAGATAGATTCTGAAAAGCAAATTTCCAGGAAGGTAAACGTTACAGAAGACGTGAAAAAAGGGGAGAATATGTATTATACGCAGGAGCAGGGGAGAGAGCTGGTTGGATATTTCGGATGTAATTATCAAGGGTCTTTTCTTTATTGTGTCTTCCACTAATTTGATGAAATGGGTTGAATCTTTTTTACTAGAGTTGAAATGGGTTGATTGTAGATATTGTTGTTTCTGCAGAGAAAAAGAAAAAAAATCTAGAGACAGTTTGAAGGAGAGGAAGAAAGAGACATGGGGTGGCTTCCTTGTTCTGGGAAGTCCAACAACAAAGCTGCTAAGTCTAAGAAGAAGATGAAGCAGATGATAGTTGATCAGGTGAAACCCAATACAGGTAATACTATTATGTGTATTACAAAGAATGGTTTTTTTATGGAATATGTGGTTGTTTGTTTCTAAACCATTAGAACAAGATAGCCATGAAGCATGAGCTACCGAAGATGACAATTCATAGATGATAAATTGAAGTTTTTCAAATTTGATGTTCTGTAATTCTCTTCTCTCTTGCATAGATGATACATAGAGCTTTGGATTCATTAATTATTCAGTCATTGAAAAGTATGGTCGTTTGTAGTTGAAGCCTCGAAGGTGTAATTCAGTTTTTATGATTATGGGTTTTGCTTCTTTTGGTGATTTTTTAAAAATTTTATTTCTAGCTTTTGCTTACCTTATTTTATTATGATGTTTAAGTCACCACTCCTCTCTTTTTATTTATTTTATTTATTTTATTTATTTTATTATTTTTTCAGAATCAAAGCTATAGCCTACCTTTGATTTTTGACTAAATTCTCATTTTCTTTTGTCCCTTTTTCAGAGGAACTTATGAGAATTTCCTCCATGAGTGTGAAAGAGACATCCAAAAATGGAGGGTCTGAAAACATTGCGGCAAAGACTTTTGCATTTCGTGAGTTGGCAAATGCAACTAAAAATTTTAGAGGAGAATGCCTTCTTGGTGAAGGAGGCTTTGGTAGGGTATATAAAGGCCGTCTTGAAAGCACAAGTCAGGTGAGCAGCTTTGTTGATTACAACTGTCTAGAAATGAAATTGGAAAGCTGATGATATATATTTCTCTCAAAAAGATGCTGTTCTTGATTGCATCCAGAACTGATGAGCTCTTCATTCTCTATTTGGTTTAGGTTGTAGCAATTAAGCAACTTGATCGTAATGGGTTGCAAGGGAACAGGGAATTTCTTGTTGAAGTGTTGATGTTAAGTTTACTTCACCACCCTAACCTTGTTAACCTAATTGGATATTGTGCTGATGGAGATCAAAGGCTTCTGGTTTATGAATATATGCCCTTGGGATCTTTGGAAGATCATTTATACGGTACATATAGTGTTAGCTTCTCCTTGCTTGTAGTTGCTCATTAGTAATTGTCTGTTTTTCAGACTTCTCTTATTAATTTGTAGTTATGGTTATTGTTGGTAGATATTTCACTGGGTAAGAAACCACTTGACTGGAACACAAGAATGAAAATAGCTGCTGGGGCGGCTAAAGGATTGGAGTATTTGCATGATAAAGCCAGCCCCCCTGTTATATATCGAGATTTGAAATGCTCCAACATATTGCTTGGTGAAGGGTACCATCCTAAGCTATCTGATTTTGGCTTAGCCAAACTTGGTCCTGTTGGAGATAATACCCATGTATCAACAAGGGTTATGGGCACTTATGGATACTGTGCACCAGAGTATGCAATGACGGGTCAACTAACTATAAAATCAGACGTTTATAGTTTTGGGGTTGTTCTTCTCGAAATCATTACGGGCAGGAGAGCCATTGACACCTCAAAAGCTGCTGGAGAGCAGAATCTAGTAGCATGGGTAAGAAATAGAAAATAAGACATTGTTTCCAAAAATGAACTGATTTTATAGCAAGATATGATACACTTAACTTTCATTACTGCAGGCAAGACCACTATTTAAAGACAGAAGAAAATTCTCACAGATGGCTGATCCTCTGCTCCAAGGTCAATATCCTCCAAGGGGTTTGTACCAAGCTCTTGCAGTGGCAGCAATGTGTCTGCAGGATCAGCCAAATTCACGTCCAGTCATTGCCGATGTGGTAACAGCTCTGAGTTACCTTGCTTCTCAAAAATATCAACCTACCACGCAGTAAATCCAAAGCTCCCACCTGGCAGAAGGTAATCTTGTCTATTACTTACCCTTGTAACCAGATATAGGTGCTGCTACTGATTGGGGAATGATCTGCAGAGGTTTCTTAGTGTAAATGAAAATAAATATATATTCATGGCTGCTTTCAATTTTGCTGGAACAACAATGGTAATCATATACAGTATTTGCTTATTGTTTGTTAGAAACTACTACACAGGCTGCTTTGCTTATTTGTCATATTCAATAATTTGACACCTTACTGGAAAGTTGTTTTGACTTTTACGGATCTGCCATGTATGACAGTGACAGTGATGGTACTCTAAATTATCTCTAAATTATATTGAATGATTTAACTATCATGGTATTAGAAAAAGAAAACCCTGTTTTATAGTTTAGACTGCTGTTGTGCAGTTCTTTTCTTAAAAATCCTCTAATGGCCTCACACGTGTAAAATTTGGATGTGAATGTGTCACTTATTTTGCTAAAAGTAAGAAAGAAAGATTTTCTCAATGACTCTTAAAATTGAAATATGCGCCTACAGACAATTTACAAGAGGGAGGGATACTTTTTTGCAAAATGGGTTAAGAAATCTGTCTTGGATAATTTCAGACTTAAACACTACCGTGATTTAAAATTAACAAATTCTAATTAACCTAAATAACATGCAATTTAAAGTAAATGTACGAGAAAAAATTGTACCTAAATTAAATTAAACATGTTCATTGCTAAATTAAAATGATATTTATTGATAGATCTGAAAATTAAATTATTACAAAATTAAAGAATTAACTTTAATTAACATTAAAATTAAACATAAATAGTGAATAAATTAACTTGCTTGAAATTAAAAAGAAGCATGAACTTCATATAAATAACAATTGAAGAAATGCCAGTTATCATAAACATAAAATTAATTACAAAAAAAAAAATTAATAGTACCTTGAATAAACCTGAAAGATTGAAGTTCATTGCATGAAACGAAATTGTTGAAGCGAATACATGAATTAGTCTATCTACTAGAATGATGAAAAACAACCTAAATCCATTGGAAATTGTGCTAAAATCCGAAATCTGAAAGCAATTGCAAAGAAAATAAAGTCTGAAAATTTGTAGATGTTTGAGTAAGGTAGGCCATGTGTTCTTCCTTCCAAAATTTCCTTTTTGTTCTCCTTTGGCCAACAATAACTTTCACTTTTTGCAGTTACAAAATTGTGGGTGGTTTCTTGAAATAGTTGGACAGCTCACCTATTGATTTGGTCTGATCTCTTTTTAAATTTTCACCACCTGTGCCTTTATCAAATAAAACCCCTCTTTAACTACAATCTTCTCCTATATTTTAGCTCAAACAATCCCTTTTTACCACAAAGAGATAATTGCACAATAAAATCTCATCTTTATCTTCATTTTTTGTCAATGTGGCAGCTAATCTATTATGAAACCCAGAACAACAGATCTGACATGAAAAAATCTCCTCCATCCATTTAAAAATATTTTGACATATGGCATAATTCTAAATTTTTACCATTTATGATGTAAACAACAGTCTAGACTGCACAACACTTTTTCC